TGGCTCCCAACATCCCAAAGGCTTTGGAACCCAGCTCCTGATGTCCCAAAGGGTTCAGAACCTGGCTCCCAATGTCCCAAAGGGTTCAGAACCTGGCTCCCAATGTCCCAAAGGCTTTGGAACCTGGCTCCCAACATCCCAAAGGCTTCAGAACCCAGCTCCCAACATCCTAAAGGCTTCAGAACCCAGCTCCTAATATCCCAAAAGCTTTGGAACCTGGCTCCCAACATCCCAAAGGCTTCGAAACCCAGCTCCCTACATCTCAAAGGCTTCAGAACCCTGCTCCAAACTTCCCAAAGGCTTCAGAACCCAGCTCCTGACATCCCAAAGGCTTTGGAATCCAGCTCACATCGTCCCAAAGGCCTTGGAACCCAGCTCCCTACGTCTAAAAGGCTTCAGAACCTGGCTCCCAATGTCCCAAATTCTTCAGAACCCAGTGCCCTGTGTCCTCTCCACTGACCACTCCAGCCCCTGAGGCCACAGACTCTTCTCAGATGCAGTTTCTGACCCAGGCCTGCAAGTCTGCCAAGCACCGCCTCACATCCTTCCCTTGTGATCACAGCATTTTAGCTCCTTGTCAAACCTTCCTCACTTCGGGCAGGGAGAACTCTCTGTGCCACTTCTGATGACTCTTTCTTGCCCTGTGTCCTCTCCACTGACCACTCCAGCCCCTGAGGCCACAGACTCTTCTCAGATGCAGTTTCTGACCCAGGCCTGCAAGTCTGCCAAGCACCGCCTCACATCCTTCCCTTGTGATCACAGCATTTTAGCTCCTTGTCAAACCTTCCTCACTTCGGGCAGGGAGAACTCTCTGTGCCACTTCTGATGACTCTTTCTTTACCCAAAAGCAATAATATTTGTATAACCAAGAACAATTTCTCAGTAATAGATTCAAGCAGCCAAGACAGCCAGTGTCTCTGGTGCGAGGCCCTCAGAACATCACCTTAAAGCACTTTTCCAAACCAATAAAGATGTTTGTTAAAAAAAAACCACCCCAACCCACCCTGTTACACTGGCAGGGAACATCACACACAGCACCAACAGCTCAGCTTGAAATGGGGGAGGCAGAGCTGCACAGGACGCTCTTTGATGTGTACTTACACCTTCAGAAGGAGCCTCTCTGCCTTGTTTTGAAGATTTCAGAGATGAATGTTTGCTTCTAAAGGACCCATCTACACCCTGAGCTCCCCTGTTCTCCTCCCAGCACAGGGGACACCAAGACCTGGCTGATAGGGGGGGTGTTATGGGGTGAGTTCCTCGTGTTACCTGCATCTAAAACGAATTCAC